TATGTCAAAGAAACACTTCTAAAGCTTAAATCATATATTAAACCCCACACACTAATAGTGAGAGACTTCAACACTCCCCTCTCACCACTGAACAGGTCAATCAGACAAAAAATGAACAGAGAAATAAGAGAACTAACAGATGTTATGACTCAAATGGACTTAACAGACATCTATAGAATATTCCATCCAAACAGAAAAGAATATATCTTCTCAGCACCTCATGGACTTTCTCAAAAATTGACCACATACTCGGTAACAAAACAAACCTCAACAAATATAAAAAAATTGGAATAAGCCCAGCGGTGGTGGCGCACGCCTTTAATCCCAGCACTCGGGAGGCAGAGGCAGGCGGATCTCTGTGAATTCGAGACCAGCCTGGTCTACAAAGCTAGTTCCAGGACAGGTTCCAAAGCCACAGAGAAACCCTGTCTCGAAAAACCAACAAAAAAAATTTAAAAAATTTAAAAAAATTGGAATAACCCAATGTACCTTATTAGATCACCATGGTCTAAAACAAGAAGTCAACAGCAATACTAATTCCAGAAAATCCACAAGCACATGGAAATTAAACAATGCTCACCCGAATCATCAATGGGTCAAGGAAGAAATAAAGGGAGAAATTAAAGACTTCCTAAAATTCAATGAAAATGACCACACAACATACCCAAATTTATGGGACACAATGAAAGCAGTGTTAAGAGGCAAATTCATAGCATTAAACACCTACATAAACAAGCTGGGAAAATCCCACACTAGTGAATTAACAGAACATTTGAAAACTTTAGAACAAAAAGAAGCAAACTCACCTAAGAGAACTAGATGGCAGGAAATAATTAAAGTGAGAGCTAAAATCAATAAAACAGAAACAAAGAAAACAATACAAAAATCAATGAGACAAGGATTGGTTCTTCGAGAAAATCAACAAAATAAATGAAACTTTATCTAAACTAACCAAAAGGCAGGGATAGAATATCCAAATTAACAAAATAAGCAATAAAAAGGGGGACATAACAACAGACATGGAGGAAATACAGAGGATCATCAGGCCATATTTTGAAAACCTGTACTCCACAAAATTGGAAAACTTAAAGGAAATGGACAACTTTCTGCATAAATATCACTTACCAAAATTAAATCAAGACCAGCTAAACAATAAAACAGACCTATAACTGCTGAAGAAATAGAAACAGTCATCAAAAGTCTCCCAGCCAAAAAAAGCCCAGGACCAGATGGTTTCAGCTCAGAATTCTACAAGACTTTCAAAGAGGAACTAATACCAAAACTCCTCAAATTATTCCACAAAATAGAAACAGAGGGAACATTGCCAAACACTTTTTATGAGGTTACAATTACCCTGAAACCCAAAACCACAAAAAGACATACTAAGAAAGAGAATTACAGACCAATCTCACTCATGAACATTATGCAAAAATACTAAATAAAATACTAGCAAATCGAATCCAAGAACACATCAGAACCATCATCCACCATGATCAAGTCGGCTTCATCCCACAGATGAAAGGATAGTTCAACATATGAAAATCTGTCAACATAATCCACCATATAAATAAGCAAGCTGAAAAATAAATACCCACATGATCATCTCATTAGATGCCGAAAAAGCTTTTGACAAAATACAACATTCCTTCATGATAAAACTCTTGGAGAGAGCAGGAATACAAGGAACATACCTAAACATAATTAAGGCAATATACAGCAAGCCAACAGCCAACATCAAACTAAATGGAGAGAAACTCCCAGTGATTCCACTGAAATCAGGAATAAGACAAAGTTGTCCACTCTCTCCATATCTATTCAATATAGTTCTTGAGGTCCTAGCTAGAGCAATAAGACACCAAAGGGAGATCAAGGGGATACAAATTGGAAAATAAGTCAAACTCTTACTGTTTGCTTATGATATGATAATTTACATAAGTGATCCCAAAAATTCTACCAAGGAACTTCTACAACTTATAAACACCTTCAGCAATATAGCAGGAATCGAGATTAACTAAAAAAAAAAAAAATCAGTAGCCCTCCTGTACACAGATGATAAAAGGGCTGGGGAAGAAATCAGAGAATCAACACCCTTCACAATAACCATAAATAGCATAAAATATCTCAGAGTAACTCTAACCAAAAAAGTGGAAGACTTATATGACAAGAACCTTAAATCTTTGAAGAAGACACCAGAAAGTGGAAAGATCTCCCATGTTCTTGGGTAGGCAGAAATAACATAGTAAAAATGGCAATCTCCCCAAAAGCAATCTACAGATTCAAGGCAATGCCCAGCAAAATCCCAGCAAAATTCTTCAAAGACCTCAAAAGAACGATACTCAACTTCATATGGAAAAGCAAAAAACCCAGGATAGCCAAAAAAAATCCTGTACAATAAAAGAACTTCTGGAGGCATCACAATCCCTGACTTCAAACTCTAGTACAGAGCTACAATACTGAAAACAGCCTGGTACTGGCAAAAGAACAGACAGGAGGACCAATGGAACCAAATAGAAGACCCAGATATCAATCCACACATCTTCGGACACCTGATCTTTGATAAAGAAGCAAAAAATAGCAAATGGAAAAAAGAAAGCATATTTAACAAGTGGTGCTGGCATAACTGAATTTCAACATGTAGAAGAATGAAAATAAATCCATATTTATCACAATGCACAAAACTCAAGTTCAAATGGATCAAAGACTTCAACATAAATCCAGTCACACTGAACCTTATAGAAGAGAAAGTGGGAAGTACACTTGAATGCATTGGCACAGGGAACCACTTCCTAAATAGAACTCCAGCAGCACAGACACTGAGACAAACACTTAATAAATGGGACCTCCTGAAACTGAAAAGCTTCTTTAAAGCAAAGGACATGGTCAACAAGACAAAACGACAGCTTACAGAATGGGAAAAGAGCTTCACTAACCCCACATCAGACAGAGGTCTGATCTCCAAAATATACAAAGAACTCAAGAAATTTGACACCAAAAGATCACATAATCCAATAAAAAAAATGGAGTTCAGACATAAACAGAGAATTCTCATCAGAGGAATCTAAAATGGCTGAAAGACACTTAAGGAAATGTTCAGCATCCTTAGTCATCAGAGAAATGCAAATCAAAACAACTCTGAGATTCCATCTTACACCTGTAAGAATGGCCAAGATCAAATACACTGATGACAACTTATGCTGGAGAGGTTGTGGGGAGAGTAAAGGGAACACTCCTCCATTGCTGGTGAGAATGCAAACTGGTACAGCCCCTTTGGATGTCAGTATGGTGCTTTCTCAGAAAATTAGGAAACAACCTTCCTCAAGACCCCGTAATACCACTTTTGGGTATATATCCAAAGGATGCTCAATCATGCCACAAGGACATAGTGTTCAACTATGTTCATAGCAGCTTTGTTTGTCATAGCCAGAACCTGGAAATAACCTAAGTGCCCCTCGATCGAAGAATAGATAAGGAAAATGTGGTACATTTACGCAATGGGGTACTACACAGCAGGAAAAATAACAACAGCTTAAATTTTGCAGGAAAATGGATGGAACTAGAAAACATTACTTTGAGTGAGGTAACCCAGACACAGAAAGACAATTATCACATGTACTCACTCATATGTGGTATTTATTTATTTATTTTTGTTTTTTCGAGACAGGGTTTCTCTGTGGCTTTGGAGCCTGTCCTGGAACTAGCTCTGTAGACCAGGCTGGTCTCGAACTCACAAAGATCCACCTGCCTCTGCCTCCCGAGTGCTGGGATTAAAGGCGTGTGCCACCATTGCCTGGCTTATATGTGGTTTTAAACATAAAGCAAAGAAAGTCAGCCTACAAACCACAATCCCAGAGAATTTAGACAACAATGCGGACACTAAGAGAGACTTACATAGATCTAATCTACATGGGAAGTAGAAAGTAGAAAATGACAAGATCTCCTGAGTAAATTGGGAGCATGGGGACCTTGGGGGAGGATTGAAGGAGGTAAGGGAGAGGCAGGGAGGGGAGCAAAGAAAATGTAGAGCTCAATAATTATTAATAAAAATGTATAAAATCATTTTTTTATTAATTGTGTGGCTATGTGTGTGTGAAGGTGTGTGCCACGTGCATATGGACTAGAGGCATTGGATGCCTGTGAGCTGAAGTCACAGGCTATTGTGAGCCACCTGCAATGGGTACTAGGAATTTAACTAAGACCCTCTGGAAGAATAATCTGTGGTCTTAACTGTTGATCGATCTCTTCGTCCGCTCTCTACAAACTGTGGTTGAATCTTATAAAAGTGGTCGCCTTAATATTTGCCTTTACTCTAGAAATGGTCTGATATGCATTGGTTCCTCTTCAGATTGTAACTTCCCTTTCCTTTCAATGTATTAATTATTATTTTAAAAAATGCACAAAAAAGAGCACTGACTGCTCCAGAGGACCAGGGTTCAATTCCTAGCACCCACATGGCAGCTCACAATTGTCTATAACTCCAGTTTCAGGGGACCTGACACCCATGGCAAAACACCAATGCATATTAAATAAGAATAAATAAATTAAAAAAAAGAAAGTAGAGTCAAGAAAGCTGGGCAGTGGTGGCGCACGCCTTTAATCCCAGCACTGTTGAGGCAGAGGCAGGCGGATCTCTGTGAGTTCGAGGCTAGCCTGGTCTACAGAGTGAGTTCCAGGACAGACAGGGTTTGAGAACTCCTGTCTCAAAAAACAAGAAAGAAAGAAAGAAAGAAAGAAAGAAAGAAAGAAAGAAAGAAAGAAAGAAAGAAAGAGGGAGGGAAGGAAGAAGAAAAAAGAAAGGGAAATTAGACTCAGAGAGCCACATAAATAAGTCTTTATTGGAAAAATACATAATTCCTTATAAATATAATAAATAACAATCCTGTAAACTTCTGTTACAAGGATAAATACCCAAATCTCCCTTCCGGGTTAATAAATATGCAGCTTTGTCCCAGGTGAAATCACAGTCGGTCCACGTTGGCCATTTGTCCTCAGGGACTAAGGCAGGTACCGAGCTTGCTTGGGCTCACTTTTTCTGGTGCTCTGGCCTTTCTCATTGCTTCCCTGATGTGCTCCCGTGGGACTTTATTCCTCATCTCTATCTCCTTCCTCTAGGGAGCTACCTGCTCTGGTCCCCCCACCCCCATAGTAAAGCTGCCCTTCAAACAAAACAAAACAAAACAACAACCAAAAGTACTAATGGGTCAGTTAGCTTGTTGGCTTACAGAAGCCTGGGTTGGTAGATTGATCTTATCATTGCTGGGAACCTGGGTGCTATACTTAAGCTGTTGGCATTAAGGGTTCCGTTAGGGTGGCTGCTCCATGGGCAAAGACCCGGGCAGCTGTCGCCACAAAGGCCTGGAAGCTTCGGAGAATCTTGGAGCGGAGAAGGGGACGCTGCCACTGCTGGCTGGGACTCAGGCTAGGCCTCTGTGGTGTCTCCCAGGGATGATCCTCTGACTGAAAGGACACAAGATACAGTCAGAACGGGTTCTAATACTAAGCTCCCAGCTTCCGTCTCAGACACTGGCTAGTCCCATCCCCCAGACCCCGGGTTCATACCTGGAGTAGCTGGCTGAGGCCCAGTAGGGAGGTATGAAGCTGGCTCACATCAGGGAGTGGAGAAGGCTCCCCTGTGAAGATGTCTGAGTCCAGCAGCTGCTTGTAAAAAACCAGACCTTGGTGGATTCTTTGCAGGCACATCTAGGGAAAGAAGGAAGTAATGAAAACATGTGGACACTCTTTTCCAGTGCCCTGTCTTCTTTTCTCCCTCTTCTTTAGACAGCATCCCACTAGCTCAGGCTGTGGCCTTAAATCTACGCCAGGTTGCTCAGGCCGGCTTCAAGCCCACGGCAGTTCTTTACCATCTCAGGAATAGCGAGGGGCCGCTATGATGCTAGCTCATTGCTCCCCTGCCCTAGATGTACTAACATCATCTGGATGGTACCTGGCTGTTGTCCTTGAGTCCTTGGGGATCACAGCCGTCCCCACACTGGATGTGTGGGACGTCATTTCTAGCCTCTTCACCTCCTTCTTCTCTTAGCAGATCCTGGAATGGGGCCAAAGGAGGATGAGATAAGGTTTTGTTGTTGTTGTTTTGCTTTTTTGAGACAGGGTTTCTGCGCAGTTTTGGAGCCTGCCCTTGAACTCACTCTGTAGACCAGGCTGGCCTCGAACTCACAGAGATCTGCCTGCCTCTGCCTCCTGAGTGCCGAGATTAAAGGTATGCACCACTGCCCGGCAACACAAGTAACTTTTGCGTTCCAATGGACCCTTAGGCTCTCCCCGAAGTTCATCTTCTGTCCTCTCTCATTCTGTGACGACCTTCAGCCCTCCAGAGTCCACCCAGCTTACATCACACTTCACACTTCGAAGGTTTGCGAAGGTTTCTGCATGGCTCCAGGAGCTCACACTTACCATCGGTCCCTCTCGGGGATGTGCACTCCAGGCCAGTGTGCAGAGATTCTGAGAGAGCTGCTGGCACTGCGCCCAGTCAGGGCTGCTGCTGCTAGGCACCGTCCGGCCGTGAGCTGCCCAGGGCAGCAGCCACAGCAGTAAAATGGCTCTACAGTCCAGCATCGTGTTGTCCGCTTCTCAAATCCGGGTGGCTCTGTGACCTGCAGCAGGCCTGGTGGACTCTCCACCAGCCTCCTTTTATTCTGACTCTTGTAGTCCGGTTTCTAAGATGCTTCCTGTTTTCTTCCCTTTGTCTCGCAGTCTCTTTTTAAGGTCCCTGAGCTGTAAGACCCGCCCTTAACAGCAGGTGACTCAGAGCAGGTGGGATTCCCCTCCCTGCATCATCTCCCTTTGTGGAGAGCCCAGGTATGCCTCCTCGGTTCCAGGGGAAATGAGCGGTGAGGTCGCTGTGGCCAGAGGCCGAGGATGGGACGTGTGTCATGCTCTCCAGGAACGGAGATGGCTGCAGCCAGGGTGGGGAAGGAATGAATATTTCAATTCATGCCATCTCCAGTTCCTTCCCGTGCAATCTGTCTGATATTTTTGCCTCTCAAGGCATTATTCTTACCTCATCCCACTCTGATTTCCTCACTTCCTCTTGCCTGAGGAAAAACCAAAACAGCATTCATTCATCGCCAAATCCCAGGGTGAGCTCAGTTTGAAATGAACTTTGGTTCCCGTATGATACCATCTACTTGAGAACAAAGCCTTCTTTTCCACCGTGGGAAAGGGTGTTCTTTTCACTGGGTGATCCTGCTTTTGGAGGCAACAGTAACCGTGAAAGTACTTTGTGACCTGAGATGCCGTTTCAGGGCAGGGTAAGACATTACTGTGCCAGCCCTCACTCTGGGAAGGGTACCGCTTGGCTTCTCATTCCACTTAGCCTAAGGTTGTCAACGGTTCTGTGGGTTTGAGGCAATGATTTTTCAGGAAACCAATGGAAACAAGGACTGGAAATGCAACTTCGACGTTCCACCCCCACCCCGTCCTACCCCATGGCTGGAACATCGCTACAAGTTCTGGGCAGCTGAAGGTGCAGTGCAGTGATCCGTGCTGGGCTTGCAGCCTATTGCATCCACGGGTAAAATCCACTGATGGCTGATTTCATCACTGTCCATGACGCAACATCCAGGGAAGCAACTGACAGTGTGAGGTTGGACGTGGGAGGGGAGGGTGGTCTAGAGCTGGAATTGCCCCAGCCCTACAGAGGGGCCCAGGACAATTTGGACATCAGAATGAGACTGTAGACGACCACACGGAAGGCTCTCAAAGTTAACTGTTCCTCTGAGAGACGTGTTCTCAATAGGGGTCCCTCTCGGGCTGTCCTGGCAATCACTCTGTAGACCACGCTGGCCTCAGACTCAAGAGATCTGCCTGCCTCCACCTCCCGAGTGTTGGAATTAAAGGTGTGTGCCACCACCCAGAGTCTAGTTTTTAAATATAAAATGCTTTACGGATTGGAATGTCATCCTTGCACAGGGATGCCAATCTCTGTATCCTCCCGATTTTAGCAAGGCATGCAGAAGCAAGGACCCTTCGGGACTGTTCTAAACTGCAGTGAAACTTCTGGCTCACGTGTCATTAGGATGCCGTGGCAGGTATGCCTACCTTTAGATGAGAGACATTGCCAGGACCGTAGGACTGACTCACTTCGGGGGGAAAGATGGTTCGTCTACGTAGGATGGGCAGAAATGGAATAAGGGAATTGAGAGGCTGTCTGGGGAGTCCACCCCACTTTGTGTAGTGTCTCTTCTACTTTTGCTACCTCTGGTCCATGTCCCGAGAGTCCTAAAAGGAGCTGAAAGGTGAAGGAAAGATAAGGAAAGGGAGGTGGGATGAGCTGGATGGGGCGAGCTGTAGGCCCAGGGCTGTTTCACTTCCTGCTGCTTTAGCAGTGGAGTAGGAAGCAGGGTCCGTGGGGAGACTCTGGGGCTGTCTCGCAGCTTGGACCATTTCCAAGGCTACAGCTGACCTAGGACTTCAAGAAGCTCTTGACGTCAGCTGGCTCTCAACCGTTATGCAAATCACATTCAGAAGACACTCCTAGACAGGCCTTTCCAGCTGGATGCTCGGCTTCCCAGTCCAGCTGAAGGTCCCGCAGGTGGGTAATTACAATGGCGAATGTGCAGCCGGCTCTCAGTTCTGCTGTGCACTTGCTCTAAGCACTTTATGTGCATTAACCTAAGTCTCACAAGAAATTCTACGCAGTAAGTGTTATTATACTACATACTGCCTATGACAGCTGGGAGCCTGGGGCGGAGATAAGTAATTTAACACAGACCACTAAAACTATGGTGCCAATAACTTGCCTTCAGATTCTATTTTTAAAAATTGGCGGGGAGATGGCTCAGTGGTTAAGAACACTACTCTCCCAGAGGACCTGGGTTCAATCCCCAGCACCCACATGGCAGCTCACAACTGACTGTAACTCCAGCTTCAGGGAATCTGACATCCTCACACAGGCACAAAAGAAAGAAAGAAAGAAAGGAAGAAAGAAAGAAAGAAAGAAAGAAAGAAAGAAAGAAAGAAAGAAAGACGAAAGTACCAATGTACATAAAATATTTTTAAAATGCTTAAAATTAGCCAGGCGGTGGTGGTGCACGCCTTTAATCCCAACACTCGGGAGGCAGAGGCAGGCAGATCTCTGTGAGTTCAAGGCCAGCCTGGTCTACAAGAGGTAGTTCCAGGTCAGGCTCCAAAGCTACAGAGAAACCCTGTCTCAAAAAACAAACAACAACAAAAAAAAAGAGAAAATGCTTAAAATTGTTTAAAATTACCACGTGTGTGGGTGCGTGTGTGCCTCAGTATGCCTGTGGACATCAGAGGACAACGTTCAAGTCAGTTTTCTCTTTCTACCTTGGCGTGTTTTCCAGGAACTGAACTCAGGTTGCCAGGCTCTGGCAGCTGGCACCTCTACCCGCAGAGACATCTTTCCCACTGGCTTCACACTTCCCCTATTTGTTGTGGTTCTGGAGAATGAACCTAAGGCCTCACACACGCTAGGCAAGTGTTCTCATCAGATCCCCAGAACTTTTTTTTTTTTTTTTGAGACAGGGTCTCACTATGTAGCCCAGGTGGCCTAGAACTCACTGTGTAGACCAGGCTGGCTTTGAACTCAGAGATCAGCCTGCCTCAGCTGCCTCCTGTAGGGAAAAAGGTGTGAGCACTACCACACCTGGTTTGGATCTTTAAATTTCTACTTCCTAATTTAACAAGGATTATAGATCTGCATCAGGTTCCCCACTAAGCCTCGTAGACCTCAATTTAGTCTTTTGTTTGTTTTGTTTTATCTGTTAGGTCTTTTTGTTTATTTATTTTTTTTTTTCTAGACAAGATTTCTGTATAGGAACTGTTGAAGCCTCTTAGCACTTAGCTTTGTGTGTGAAAATTTAAATCTTAGAACCTGTGATGTCAGAGATCCTTTGAGTTAGGTATTTCCTATTTTGATATAGGAGTCCATGAGTATGGAATACCAAGTGCCTATGTCCTCCTGCCTGCCCCTTTTACGGTTTGGTTTTGTTTTTTTTTTCGATAGAATTTCCCATAGCCCAGGCTACGTAGTCACTATGCTGCAGAGAATGGCCTTGAACTACTGATCCACCTGCCTCCACCTCATGTTCTTGCATGAAGTTCTACTTGCTTTTATTGAGAGAAATCAGAGCGAGAGCACACAGACATGGATGGATTTGTGCGTGTGTGCATGTGTGCGTGTGTGTTGTGAACCTAGAGCTTCTTATACGTGTGTATGTTAGGCAGGTGCTAAACTATTGACCTATAGACTCAGCCCAGAGTGGTTTTTGGAAACACTGGGGTTAAACTCGGGCTTTGTTCCTGCTAGGTGCTTGCATGTGCTAAACAGATGCTTTAGCAGTTGACTTTCATAAAAATAGCTGTATCTATTTCTTTTTTTTATATTTTATTTATTATGTATATAGTGTTCTGGGCACCAGATCTCATTATAGATGGGTGTGAGTCATCATGTGGTTGCTGGGAATTGAACTCAGGACCTTTGGAACAGCAGTCAGTTCTCTTAACCTCTGAGCCATCTCTCCAGCCCCTGTATCTATTTCTTATGTGTGCAGAAATGTGTTATATGTGTGTGCCACAGTCCGTGAGTGAAGATGACAGATGTTGGGCATCACTTTTTCCTTCCACCATGAGTCCCAGGGATCAAAGTCAGGTGCTCACACATGGCAGCAGGGACCCTGCTGGCTGTGCCATCCTAAAAGCTTTCTTCACCCTTTTGAAAAGAAAGACATTTTTGAGAGGGGTTGTTGTTTTGAGACAAGGTCTTACTGTGTAGCTTTCCCTGGCCTGGAACTCACTATGTAGATCAGACTGGCATTGAACTCACACAGATCCTGAGTGTTGGGTTTGCAAACCCACATAGCTTGGCTTTTGTTGTTGTTGTTTTTAAACAGTGTTTCATGCAACCCTGACTAGATTGGAACTTGCTATGTAGCAGAAGCTAGTCTTGCACCCCTAATCCTTCTGCCTCTATCTCTGGATTATTGTCATTACAAGTATGTCCCCACTATTCCATGGCCCAGGAAATGCTGGAAAAGTTTATCATTGGTGAGGAATTTCTTCCACAGGCATCCCACAATTTGGCCTTTATACTATTTGTTTGCTGAAAGAGGGCTTCACTGTGTAGCCATAGCTGGCCTAGTGTCCTTGCTATGTAGTCTAATCTGGCCTTGAATTTGTGGGGTCCTCTTGCTCCTGCCTTAAGAAAGCAGGAATTGCAGGTGTGGACCATTACCTGTACAGGACTTTTAAAAACAGGAGTTGGGAGCCGGGCACTGGTGGTGCACGCCTTTAATCCCAACACTCGAGAGGCAGAGGCTGGCGGATCCCTGTGAGTTCAAGGCCAACCTGGTTTATAGAGCTAGTTCCAGGGCAGCCCCAAAACAGTAATGACAGCTTGAGTGTCCTAAGACATCTCACAGCTCGGACCAATTAATTCTAAAGCAGTTTAAGTCCACAGCCAAGTCCCCAGAGTCTGTCGGACATGGTGACATCCTCCCACAGAAGAATTAGGGACGGTCGGATCTCTGAGTTGGAGGCTGGTCAAGAATCCCCCAGAAGGGCTGTTGATGCGTATGCATGCCTCAGTTGACTCAACCGACTCAACTTAACTGTTTATCTCCCTCTGAGGGACAATGTCTTAACTCCACGGTCTAGGGGAATTTGACAACCCGGGAGGCTTGTTTCTTGGGAAAATTATGGGGACCTCTGGGGGTGACACAAACATGGATGGGAATTTCAGTTGGATGCCTTTAGAAATATAGAAAAGGTGGCCACTTGGGTCAACCTAGAAGTCATGCTCCCGCTTCCTTTTTCTTCCCCGTATCTAGCAGTCATAGGAAATGCCAGGGAGCTTCGGGACGCAGGGTCGGCGGCAGTGGCTTGGCTCACAGGCACAGCAGGACGAAGGGGTAGACCCCGCTACGCCGGGAATACCCACCAGGCGCGTCCCCGTGCTTTGCCTCCGGCCCCCCTCGGGCCAGTTTCTATTCGGGGAGCGCAAAGGCGTAGTTTCCAAGCCTAAAGTTAATTTCGTTTGACAAGGCTGAC